ATGTTTGTTCTACTTTCTGATGTGCAGGTTTCCGGTGTATGACCAGGAGTTCTGGGCCTGACAACCTAGTACCTCTTGACCCTGAAATCGAGAAGTCCGCTAAGCGCAATCAAAAGAGGAAACGACAACAAAGAAAGATGGAGGAACGTGCTATAGTTGCTGAGAACAACAATGACACTTATGGGGCATACCTTCAGCCTAAGTACATTCAGCAGCTTTCATGCATTCGTCGGCCTGACATCGACCGTAACAATTTTGAGTTTCAACCGGCATTCATCAATATGTTGAGCTCCTCGGCTTTCAGGGGCAGACCTAATGAAGACCCGATCCCTCACTTGACTTGATTCAAGCTACTATGTCAGTCGGTGAGGACAATCCGCGGAGTTACCGATGAGTCTCTCATGCTCATGCCCTTTCCATTCTCCTTAATGGATACTGCTCTGGAATGGCTCTACACACTACCTCCAGATTCCATCTTCTCATGGGAACAGATGCAAGAAAAGTTAATGCAGCGGTTCTTCCTCGCTAGCAAGACTCAGCTCGTGAAACAACAGATTAACTCATTTTTGCAGGAACCTGACGAATCATTGCGCGAAGCTTGGGATCGCTGTCAAGGATACCAGAGAATGTGTCCTCACCACAGATGGGATAAAAGGTACCTTATTTACACTTTCTTGCAGGGATTAAAGGAGGACACTCAGGTTCTTATTCGAGTAGTATGTGGAGAAAGCCTCAACGAAAAATCATTCGACTTCATAGAGCAACAAATCAACAAGATGGCCAACGAGTGTACTCCCTCTCAAGAGTTTATCAGAAACGTTAGCCTCAAAGACAGTCGTGCAGGTAAGAAAAGTCTATCTGAAATTCAGGCATTACGTGCAGAATTGGCAAAACTTAAAATGCAGGTTGAGAATGTTCATCAAATCTCATACTTAGACACATCAGCCAACAGGTACATGATCGAAGATGTCTACTACGTAGATAACAACCTGTACTCGAATGTGTACAATCCGGGATGGAAGAATCATCCAAACTTCTCGTACAAGAATTCTTCCAACGTCTTGAATACTCCCCACAGAAATTTTGGTGGTTCGGCTAATCAGAGTCTTTCTCAAGGATATAAACCTCGACCTCGAGCTTCCCCACAACATCAGAATCAGGCCATTCAACACTACCCATCACCTCTTCAATCTCAGCAGAATTACGCTCTGTCTCCGCCTTCACAACATGTAGATTTTGACCTCGATCTTAAGTCTATGTTCGCACAGCTTATGCAGGGTCAAGAAGCTATTCGCACCGAGATGCGTGAACATCAACAAGAGACCGACGCCCACTTGAAGTTTGTCAATAACCAAATAGCTCAACTCGCAGCCTCTATACCTTCGCGACCTCAAGGATCACTTCCCGGGAAACCCGAGACAAATCCTAGAGAGCACTGCAATGCAGTGTTCTTGAGAAGCGGGAAGCAACTTGAGGATGTCGTCCCCCCTACTCTTGAAAAAGGTGAGTCTTTTTACTCTAGATCTGCGATCACATCTAACATTCAGTCTTCAGATACTCCAGTTAAGATGACATGTGAGGAAGAACCAAAGTATGTACCTCCACCTCCCAGACCTCCTCCAGTTCCATTCCCTTCACGACTTGTGCAACAAAAAGAGGCCAGCCAGTTTAAGCGCTTCACGGACATGATAAAAAAATTGGAGGTCACAATACTTTTTCACGAGGTAATCACTCAAATGCCCTCCTATGCCAAATTTCTCAAGGATATTCTAGCTAGGAAGAAGACAGTGGAGAAGGAGACAGTAGCATTAACCAAAGAGTGCAGTGCCGTTTTTTCAGCCTGATTTGCCCCGTAAGATGGCAGACCCAGGTAGTTTCTCCATTCCTTATAAAATGGGCAATCTCTTTATTGAATAGGCGTGTTGTGATCTAGAAGCAAGCGTAAGCCTAATGCCATTTTCGATCTTCAAGAGACTAGGTGTGGGTGAACTCAAATCCACACAAATGATATTACAGTTGACAGATAGGTCGGCCAAACGGCCTGCGGATATACTAGAGGATATGCCACTTAAGACGGGTGATTATTACATACCTGTCGATTTTGTGGTTCTTGACATGGATACATATTCAAGCATGCCTATCATTCTAGGGCATCCCTTTCTCAACACAGCATATGTCGTCATCCACGTCAGAGCGGGTCATCTTACTATGTCCATTGGAGACGAGACAATAGAATTCATGCTCAATCAAAATGACAATCCAGACGAAAGTGTGAAATCTATTTGTTCAGTTTACAAGCTCAAAACACCTAAGAACCAGGACCACAAACACAAGGTTAAGAGAGGACCAGATCCAGATAGGACGAAAGGTAAGAAAGAAGCTAACATGGTTGAGCAGGTCACTAACTCATCAGACCATCCTGAGAATTGGCTCGAATCTCATGTATCACCACCAGATTTTTCTCTACTAGGTACGCCTCGTTTCTCAAACTCATTTTGTTGTAGAGATGCTCTTAAACTTCATGATCCAGGTTGGCAGAAGATCGATAATCTTCGCCCATTAGACCCATCCGGTAGTTGAGAGAGTTTGGTCAAGCTAAAGACCCTAAACAAGCGCTCCCGGAAGGCAATCCGAGTTCTTAGGTTAGTTTTCTTTCCTTTCTATTTCTTTTTGCATCGGATATTGGTTTGTATCTCTTATCACTAGGTTGAGTTCTAATGAGGAATTGAGGAGACGAGGAAGCTAGCTATGCGATAGACGTAGGCAGACTTAAGTGCGAGTGAACGAACATCGCGAGCTAAGTATTCTTTTTCCTTCTTGATTTTCTTCTCTTTTGACTCATTTTATTGGTTGTCTCTACTAGACGAGAAATGACACCGAGGACGGTGTCCAGTTCAAGTCTGGGGGAGGATTCATCTAACGCCAAACCATATCCATATAGAGTAGTGTTGCATGTATTTTTTTCCTTTTATTTTCAATTTTTAGTTGCATGTGCATATAGGATGTACTAGGATCATATAGTTTGTTGTTAGGATTGTGCATTCTCATATAATGTTTAGGACATATAAGATCACGTGCATAAAACCGTTTTGAGCATTGATATGTTGACCTATGACATGAGAGAGTAGAAACGTCCTGAAAACATTGTGATTCGTTGAACGTGGTTATGTTTTGTTGAATTGATTGCTTGACCTTGAGGATTTTTCTAGAATGGCTTGTGGGATATAAATCGTTGGACCGATGTTGTCTAGCCAAGTAGAAAAATTTCTATAAGAACCTTTCCCATGTTTGCTGAAATCGGTAAAGTCTATTATCAAATGCATTCTTATTTCTTTATGTGCAGAAAAAGATAGTGAGCATCTCAACACTCCACTGTCATTATCTCGTCAACGAAAATCGTTTGAGGACATAAGTGCATCAATTTGATGGTTCGGGTCTAAGTTGTGGGTCGGAATATCCAATAAACAAAATCGAAAAAAAAATTTGATTAGGAACCCTTCAACTTCAACATCCTAGAAACTCAGATCCCATCAACGATCCAAACACATACTCAGACGATTTCACCTTATCAGGGAGATTATAGACAGAGGAGACGTGCACATTTGCAGAGTGTCGACAGATGACAACATTGCCGATCCGTTGACGAAGCCTCTCCCTTCGTCGAAGCATGAGGGTCATGTTAGGGATATGGGCATTAGATGTTTAGCAGTTCATGATTAGAGCAAGTGGGAGATTGTTGGTTTAGTGCTCTATGATGTACTGTTTATGAGCTTTCTTTAGATACATTCGATGTATTGATACTTTCTATGGTTTTATGAGAGTATTTGATTCATTCATGTTCTTACATACTAGATTTGTTATGAAATTCGTGTATCATTATGAATGATACTAAACTCCCTAGTCTTGTGTCGTTACGGGAATAACGACATACTAAGACTAGTATGATGTGTGGTTGATGATCACATAGATGATCATAGGTATTGGATACGATCACTATCATAGGTATTCGTTGGAGAATGGAATACTGGATTGACCCGCATGAGATTGTCACATGGACTAGCGTCATGACTTGAATCTCATACGACGATTCCATGATTGGATCCTAAGACCTGAGATATCTACAGAATCCAACATGAGGAGTTG